AAATTCCCGTAAAACAGAATACAACTTTGGAAGTGATGTAATGTATTGTATTCTTTCATTTCTGAGCATGTGTCTTGCTCTTCCAATTTGTTTCAGATGAATACTGTATGGATTAAAGGAAAATCGTACAATCTGGTATCTGTGCATTTGAAACAATCTGGATATTATTTATTTATTTCAGGTACTTCTATAGCGCCGTCAATTTACACAGCGCTTTACATATATACAGTCAGGTCCATACATATTGGGACATGGACACAATTCTAACATTTTTGGCTCTATACACCACCACAATGGATTTGAAATGAAACAAACAAGATGTGCTTTAACTGCAGACTGTCAGCTTTAATTTGAGGGTATTTACATCCAAATCAGGTGAACGGTGTAGGAATTACAACAGTTTGCATATGTGCCTCCCACTTGTTAAAGAACCAAAAGTAATGGGACAGAATAATAATCATAAATCAAACTTTCACTTTTTAATACTTGGTTGCAAATCCTTTGCAGTCAATTACAGCCTGAAGTCTGGAATGCATAGACATCACCAGACGCTGGGTTTCATCCCTGGTGATGCTCTGCCAGGCCTCTACTGCAACTGTCTTCAGTTCCTGCTTGCTCTAGGGGCATTTTCCCTTCAGTTTTGTCTTCAGCAAGTGAAATGCATGCTCAATCGGATTCAGGTCAGGTGATTGACTTGGCCATTGCATAACATTCCACTTCTTTCCCTTAAAAAACTCTTTGGTTGCTTTTGCAGTATGCTTTGGGTCATTGTCCATCTGCACTGTGAAGCGGCGTCCAATGAGTTCTGAAGCATTTGCTGAATATGAGCAGATAATATTGCCTGAAACACTTCAGAATTCATCCTGCTGCTTTTGTCAGCAGTCACATCATCAATAAATACAAGAGAACCAGTTCCATTGGCAGCCATACATGCCCACGCCATGACACTACCACCACCATGCTTCACTGATGAGGTGGTATGCTTAGGATCATGAGCAGTTCCTTTCCTTCTCCATACTCTTCTCTTCCCATCACTCTGGTACAAGTTGATCTTGGTCTCATCTGTCCATAGGATGTTGTTCCAGAACTGTGAAGGCTTTTTTAGATGTCGTTTGGCAAACTCTAATCTGGCCTTCCTGTTTTTGAGGCTCACCAATGGTTTACATCTTGTGGTGAACCCTCTGTATTCACTCTGGTGAAGTCTTCTCTTGATTGTTGACTTTGACACACATACACCTACCTCCTGGAGAGTGTTCTTGATCTGGCCAACTGTTGTGAAGGGTGTTTTCTTCACCAGGGAAAGAATTTTTCGGTCATCCAAACAGTCTTGTTTTGGAACGCCTAATGTTTTTTGCTAATCTCTCTGATGGGTTTGTTTTGTTTTTTTCAGCCTAATGATGGCTTGCTTCACTGATAGTGACAGCTCTTTGGATCTCATCTTGAGAGTTGACAGCAACAGATTCCAAATGCAAATAGCACACCTGAAATGAACTCTGGACCTTTTATCTGCTCATTTTAATTGGGATAATGAGGGAATAACACACACTTGGCCATGGAAACAGCTGAGAAGCCAATTGTCCCATTACTTTTGGTCCCTTAACAAGTGGGAGGCACATATGCAAACTGTTGTAATTCCTACACCGTTCACCTGATTTGTATGTAAATACCCTCAAATTAAAGCTGACAGTCTGCAGTTAAAGCACATCTTGTTTGTTTCATTTCAAATCCATTGTGGTGGTGTATAGAGCCAAAAATGTTAGAATTGTGTCGATGTCTCAATATTTATGGACCTGACTGTATATTGTACATCACATCAGTCCCTAACCCTCAAGGGGTGTACAATCTAAGGTCCCTAACTCACATTCATGTACTAGGGCCAATTTAGATAGGATCCAATTAACCTATCAGCATATCTTTGGAGTGTAGGAGGAAACCGGAGTACCCGGAGGAAACCCACGCATAAAAGCTGTGTATTAGCCATCAGACGACCGTTTTGAAAGCAGTATTCTTCATCCGATTTTCTGATCGTGTGTTCGAGGCTTTAGAGATGTGTTTAGAATAAACAAACCATTCAATGTATATACAGGTCCACGTTCGAGACAACTAAATACAAGATATTCTAAAAGCAATATAGACAAAAATGTAAAATTCATTGCCACGTTGTATTCCAAACATCTCTAGCCTACTCCTATTACTCTAAACCAGGGGTCTTGAATAAAATATACGGAGGACCGTTCAGCAAAATTTCCTTCCAACAGAGGGCCGAATCTCGTTAGTGATATAACACATCACAGTCCCCTGGTACATTATGACCTTTAGTGTACCTTTCACACTGTAGTCCCCTCTATATCACAGTACCCTCTTTAAAGTAGTCCCACAGTGTCCTCTTCCCTTCACATCACTGCCCCCCTTTACAACAAAACACAGCGCCCTAACACAACACAGCGCCCCTAACACAACAGCAAATATATAGCAAAGATGGAATGTCTCTTTGCTGGACTGGGATGGCTCTTTGCTGGACCCAACTGGGCAAAGAGACAGCCTAGTCCAGCACAGCCACAGCCTGCTGGCGGGTGAAGAAGAGAGGCTGCTGTTGTCCCTTCAGTGCAGCGGGCAGCCGAGGAGGTGTCCCTGTGTCAGCGGCACTTCCTGCTTGTCATCTGGGGCCATCACTTTCGCTCCTCCTGTCGGCCCTGCTTTAGGCATTGCCACACAGCGGGAGGCGAGAGGCGGTCACGGTCTGTATTAGCCCCGTCCAGACCATGGTCGCCGCTTACCTCCCGTTGTGTAGCCCAGTCATCTTAAGCCTGGCGGCCCAGTGTGCCCTATGGCCAGCTCAGTCCTTGGCCCACGGGAGGGCACATGACGGTGGCATGGCTGTGGTCCAGACGGGACTGTCCCTCGGTCTGATTCCACTCTCCACCATTTAATGACCTCTGCTCTAAACAATCTTGAAGTTTGTAAACGTACTTTGTGAAGATCCCACGGCTTTAATTCCTTACATTCTATGACATGCAGTCACTATGCCCTGTGAGAAGGCACTGCCGTGTCACACATTTCACAGAGCCTGCCTTCTGAACTACAGAGGTGCTGAGAGGAGGTGTTTTAGGAGGCGGAGTCAGTACAGGCATCACTGCTTGCAGGCAGCAAGGTACCATGAGAGATGTAGTCCTTATAAATCAAAGTAAACCGCAAAGGAGAAACTGAAATGTATGCAGAGAATCCAGGAAGATGTGGAAAGAGATGAACAGCAGACAGGCAAAACTCACAACTTGAAAGGAGATTTTTCAAGTAAATTTATACTGAATTCTCAGATATAAACTATTGTATGTATTGGTATTACAATGCTGATGTTATAGAATGAAAGTTTATGGTGTAACCATAGATTTGAGATTCTGCAATCTCCTAACTGGATGTGAATATTTACATAAACCTAGTCAGGGGAGCTTTAGTCATTATTTGTCTGTAAATCAGTTACATATTATTCTAGTTTCTGTTTTACACAATGACAACCCTTCCTGAGAAATCTGTTCAAACGTTTTTGGTCTCTAGTGCTTGATCTGCTGGGGATGTACGATCTTGTTCTTACCTGTCATCGCTGATCAGATACACGGGACAGTGATCTCATTTATCCCAACCCATGTCACTGTCACTTTTGATAGACAGCCTGTACACATGGAGAACAATATAAAAGAAGACAAGCCAAAGAAAAAAAAAAAATTCTACTGAATACACATACAGGGGTTAGATAAAAAAAAAAGGAAACACTACATGATTTGCAGGTGTGAAAGTGACGGCATGTTTCCTGTTGACAGTGGAAGTGAAGAAACATTCTTTTGCTTCCGCTGTGTGATGAGACAATCCTGAGCAATGTCCTTTTGCTGATTTCGGTCAGTCCGCCATCTCAACTGCTCTCATGCTTATCGGCCGACGTTTTCCCTGAAGTTGCCAATTTATTTGCGGTGTCACGAGGTACAGTATCAAAGGTTATGACGGCATATACAGTTTCTGGGAAAACGTTGTTTGATAAGCATAAGAGCGTCTGACATGGTCAACTGACCGAAAGAGACAAAAAAGACACTGCACAAGATTGTGACTCAGAAAAGTGACTGCAGAGCTCAATCTCAGTTCCGTGAAAACAAATATGTTCCCGGAAACTGTATATGCCGTCATGACCTTTGATACTGTACCTCGTGACACCGCAAATAAATTGGCAACTTCAGTCACAGAAGCACCGGCTAAATGGGAACCAACAATTTGCCCTCCTTGTAAGCTTTGATATGACTCTGTAATACTAGCAGCGCTCGCAGTGAATGACGAAAGTGAGGCTTCCCACCTGTTAGCTAGGTGTCTCATCACACAGCGTAAGCAAAAGAATGCTACATCACTGCCGCTTTCAAGACGAAAGAGGTCGGCACTTCCATACCTGCAAAACATGTAGGGTTTCCATTTTTTTGTCTAAAATCTGTATAATCCTATAATCCATACACAGATATTAGAAAGATGTATTTGTCATTACAGAGATCAATTCAATATACGCCTGAATATGACACTATTTTAGTGCATTAATCAAATGTACATCAAGATTTTGATTGTTCCTCTTTAAGGGATTTTTTTTTCTTGCAGCGCTTTGCTGGAAGCAGTTCATGTTGCAGTAACAGAAGACTCTGAACTTTTGTACTTTTAGTTACTGTTTCCAAAGAAATCTGAAAACAACTTGCATTGCATATTGAAAAAAAAAAAAAAAAAAAAAAAAAAAAAAAAACAAACCACATAATAGGATCTTCTTACACGATCGCAGAAACCTTGTGTGTCCAAGCAAAACTGACCCATGGCAGATCATTACTTTAGACCAATGGTCTCCAAACTGTAGCCCTTTGCTCGCAATGACATTAACAATAGGACACAATTCCTGTTACTGACCAAAAACAGGGCACCATTCCTCCCACTGACGGCAATGATGGGGCACCATTCCTCCCACTGACGGCAATGATGGGGCACCATTCCTCCCACTGACGGCAATGATGGGGCACCATTCCTCCCACTGACGGCAATGATGGGGCACCATTCCTCCCACTGATAGCAATGATGGGGCACCATTCCTCCCACTGATGGCAATGATGGGGCACCATTCCTCCCACTGATGGCAATGATGGGGCACCATTCCTCCCACTGATAGCAATGATGGGGCACCATTCCTCCCACTGATAGCAATGATGGGGCACCATTCCTCCCACTGATAGCAATGATGGGCCGAATGTGCCCTTTGCTTGCCTTTATTCCACCAACTGACACCAATGGTGGAGCACCGTTCCCCCCTACTGACACCAACGGGACACTATTCTTTTCATATTATTCCTCCCATTAAAACCAATGATGAGTCACGGATGCTGGGACCTTTTCCACTCCCACTGGCCACAGTCCTACCCCCACTAAAGCCTGAAGGACAGTAAACTGGCCCTTTGCTTAGAAAGTTTTGAGAGCCCTGCCTTAAATCATGGTAAGTAAATGGAATGCAAAGTGCGATTGGGTCCTTAGACTTAAGATAATCCTCTATGGGAAAAAAAAAAAAAAGGATGTGAATAAGACTCTCCAAAAGGAAGAAGGATTTGGGGGGTTTTACACATATGGCAGCACTGCAGCACTTTGCATGCTGACCAGATCTACCAGTTTGGTGAGTAAAAATCAGACATGTATCCTGCCGAGCAATTACCTGGAAGACTGCCTCCTATCAGTGAGTCAGCAATGTTATGTAGGAGGCTCAGACAGCCTGCAGAACAGCTGGAGCCATTACTTCTCTATCCTTACCTCCCATTAATGTGTGCTGAGCACCGTACACCCGCTGACAGCTGCCTGGAAGTGCATTTCAATCTTATTATTACAGCACAGCTAAAGCAGCCTGAACAGGAAACAAAACCACTTCTCTGAGAGAGCTTGGCTTGTGTGTGCAAGATCTATCCATGTATAACAGGCGTGTATTGATCTGCTGATAGCTGTATAAGTTACATCCAGCAGGCCATGGAGGGAAGAGAAGAAAGGGATTCACGTTATAGAAAAAGGCAGAGCAAAAGCGGACCAAGTCCACTCTGCTCTATGAATCGGCGGGTATAAACGGACTTTGCTGTCCATTTAAACCCGACTGCCATCTGATTCGATTTCAAAAAACAAACTTCCCAGGATGGGCAAAGGTGGTTACTGCTGGTAACAGATATATAGGCTGAAATGTCCTGAAAAACCAACCTTAAAGCGGAGTTCCACTTACCTTGTTAAAAAATAAAAGTCAGCAGCTACAAACTGTAGCTGCTGATTTTAAAAAACAGCCACTTACCTGTCCCTCGGTCCCGTGGTGTGTCCCCTGCAGCCCATTTCACCAGCCATCCTGTATTACTAGAGGCTGGCATCTTCAGTGTGGACACCCGGCTGTGACTGCTTGCGGCTTCACAGCCAGGTACCCACTACGCATGCGCAAGTAGCGCTGCGCTTCATGAATGGTCCTGTAGTCTTCTGGGACCTGTCACGTGTCCCAAAAGACTACAGGGAGGGAGAACACCTTCCGTTTCTGATCGCCTAGGCGATCGGACCGGAAGTGGGAGCGGGTACCTGTCAAATTCGGGTACCCACTCCCCTTAAGCCCCCCCAAAGGTGCCAATCACTAATGGGAAGCGGGGGAGCAGTCCTTAAAGCAGAACTTCCCCTTTTGGGTGGAGCTCCGCTTTGATGCCAGGTATCTTAAAACATCAGTTTTTATTGCTCAAATTTTGAGTAAAGCTTCAGTGTGGATTCAGACATCTTACACTGTAAATTCAACACATAAAAAAAAAAAAAAAAAAAAAAAGACATGAATGGACAAAACAGATTAAACAATCGTATGTGAATTAAAATATCCACTTCCGGACGCACATAGAGACTCATACAAGATTGGCATACCGCAGAAACATGCTGCCTAATTATTTTCAAGTACTAATGAAGGTAGCCTTCATGTAAGAGTCTGGGATCCCAAAGGGCCCAGAAAGACAAGTTGTCGTGTACCATAAATTCACTCAAACAAAATAAGGGTGCAATTGATCATGGTCACTGGGGGCTGGGCTCTATATTGGTCGGTGAGGCAGTCTGTGCAATCAAGTCCAATAAAGGATAAATCTCATTAATTATGGGACAAGTCAATTTAAAACACAGATCTCAGGTTTCTCAACTGAGGATAATGGAGACCGTTGTTGAGCTGTATAAACTCCAGTTCAATCATGGGTAGCATCAAAAATGGACATATATTGAGCGATAAAGTTAGTGAAGGATAATTATATGTGGATAATGTGGTTCCAAGATATATGGGCACTTTTTGGCATGTAGCCTTTATAACTTCAAATATCTTCTGGTCCAACTGGACCTATCGTAAGGGAGTATAGAAGATTCCAGTGTCCTCAATTCAGTGCTTCACAACAAGAAGCGGCACATACATTACCGCTACTCTACTTGTCCACAGCCACTTCACTATTCTAGATA